CTTGCCAATGATGTGCATAAATCTAAATTTTCAAGAACTGAAGGTGATATCATTTGGGGGATTTCATGGTTTATTAGCTCAAGGGGAGGAAGTGGGAATTTTTGGGAAGGCGAGAAAGGGACTCATGCAGACAATGCCAAAACAAGTTGATATAAATATCGAATTATGTCTTAAGATCGTGAGATCATATAGTTGACAAAATTAACTAGTAATATCAAGAAAATAAAGTATTGAAAAAGGTATACAAGTAGAAGGCAAGGATTATAAAGAACTTTATCTTCAACTTTAGTTTATTTCAGCATAGCCTTGGTATGGGGGTGTTTTTACCGAACATTCTAGAATTTTGACTTGCAGCCCTGTTCAGAACTTAACTTTCGAAAGACTTAGTTACATAAGTTCCATTTTTACCAATGCATTGGTTGCAATGGTTAAATTTACTATACTTTTATTAAACAAAGATTTAACAATTAGCTATTTAAACCTTTGATATAAGCAAAAATGTTTATGAAAATAAGGACATGCCGTAGAACAAGGATAAAAACAATTTCTTTTATCTAGGAATACCCCAATGACTTTTTTAAAAAGAGAAAGAGAATAGAATTGGACGGATTTTTGAAAGAGTTTTCCGAGTTTTCCGGTTCAAAGGGTAGATTTTACTTACAGTGTACTCGGTGGGCGCCAGCGGCGTCCGCGAGTCGCTCTTATGGAAACTCATGGCGACGATAACGGTAATGGTAATCCTTGATTAGCCGATATCTTTGCGGATGCAGGATCAGGCCGTTGGGGGTTAGGATCCTGGTGCGCGAAACGACACCACTCGGATATCGAGACTGGCCTCCAAGCACTTGTTACAGATACAAAACAGAATTGAATGGCAGATTTAATAGCAATGGTCGAGACTCGTCTCAAAAGTGGGATTGGAGTTGGATTTGAGAATAAGAAATGCAATATTACTAATGCAACTTGCGAGAGAGACCGTGACCGGAACGGGGAATCGAATCGGATATTTCAGTAATTTCGAATTCGAGTAGTTTTCTTTTTCGGAGTTCCGACAATCAACCGCACGGTTTGACAAACAGAACAAGAATGCCAAACCTTTGCACTAAAACGGCGAGTAGAACCGAACCCCCGATTCGATTCCCAGACCGATTCCCCGAAGAGAGAGGCGATAGTCGAAAGAGAGTGAAAAGAGGGCGGCTAACAGTGAAAAGAGAGCGTAGCGGGCATTTTCCGTTATTGCCGTGCAGGTTCAAATCAAATTTTTACCCTGATATATCTCCGATGATCGGGTTTCCTTGAGGACCTAGAAAAGGAAATCGGCTGGCACTTTCATGGCTCACAGGTCGGCTACTGAATCAGTTCCGGTCAAAATATTAGGAGCGGTTCAAGATAAAGCTGCATGTAGAACAACGTAACATAAATAGAATTTACTGACTCACTCTACAATTAAACTGTAGCTGTCAAGATAATAAAATACATACAATGTTGTAACGATTTTATTTAACTTTGTGGGAGTCAGCACTTGATTGATATTTACAAAACATTTGGAATACTAAAAGCACCCTTAATATTTCCATTAACAACTTATATGCTCAAAATGCTTTCTGCCAACCCACATAAGAGGTTCAAAAAATTCTTGTTTGAGATCGATTTGTTAATAATACTTTATAAATATCAAGAATTCAGCTTTCCTTAAATTAAATAACAATAAGCTACAAAATTATGACAACGTATGCGTATTTCATTTTTCCCCGTGCCTGCAATCAAGGGAATCAGTTTTCCCAAAGCTGAAACACGCAGATAAGACTAGATAACGACTGGCTGGGAAAACTGGAATGGCTAATTAATAAGCGATATCATCCAGATAAAGTCCACATATGACGACGATATGACGATTCCATTTGGACTGCCTCAATTGGGCGCCAATTGAAACGTACGACCCCCACGAGAGTCTGGAAAAATTGATTGAGGCCGAAGTTGATTGCCAAAAATACGAGCCAAGGGCTCAGTGGTCGGGAAAAGAAAAGAACTGACAGAAGTGTGGATCAGTCATTTGCTGAAATTAAAATCAATTTGATTTCTGCGTCGCATTTATTTATGGGTAACTCGAAACGTGCGCCAACTGCACGTCTGATACTTCGTCTACGGTTGCTTTGGCCTGACAGAAACCAGTTCGAAGCGGAAACATTCCTGGCGAATTATAGCTGTGGAAAATTTTACGATTTTTCTGCAATTGGATTCAGCCCAACGAATTCACTCAAACTTGACCGAGTTCCGGGCTAAATTGCATCTGGCGAGGGATTGGATTTAGATTGAGACCGCCTTGGATTTGGGATCAAGGTGAGATCTGGCCTTGCAACTTGGATCGAAATTTAATTAAAAATTAATTTATTCATGAGGGAATGCATATTTTTCAATTGGCTAAAAATGCCAGATGACTTAGAGGGGGTTGGTTGAAATTCCAAATTTCAACTGTCAGGAAACTTGGGAGAAAAAGTATAGCCTACTTTTGGGACTTTTAAAAAGTAGCACCACCCCTCGGCTGCCTTCGTAAGGTGTCTCCTTTCCAAACTGACAACAGGTGGCGCACTTGTGATCTCCTGCTGCTGACATTGCTCATACGCCCCCTTAGCCAACTGAAATTAGCTCAACACTCAGTCTATTTTTCGCGAGAAAACCGCTCCTTAATTTATGTGACCTCTGCTGCCGATCACCACAGATTTAGCTACTTAACTTATAGATAAACATAAAAATATCAAGTGCAGCTTTCTCAGCGAAATCAGAATCAAGTCGTACTTGAGCGCTAATTTAAGGCAATCTGAATCTCCGGCTCTTGACGGGCGTGTTATTTAAGCAATTTGCATATGCAAAAGCCAAAACGCACCCTGAAATTGGATTGCCAAACGGGTTTCGGGCAAGACAAAGAGATGTTGGCCGCAATTGTTTGCAATAAAGGCACTCAAAATCCGCAAAATGCAAGCTCATATGAAAGCGGAACGCAGAGAACAGATTGGGTATTACCTAAGTATCACACTCCCTCAATTGATATGCAAGGCGCATATATATTAAATATATTCAAAACACACAGTTCATCACTCACAACGCGTAAATCCTTGAGCCATTCACAAAAACACTTGCCGCAAAAAACCCCCAAACAAGTCGGCTTATAATATATATAATGATCAAGCTCAGGTTGTTGACTTTGAAACCCGCGTCGATCCATTAATTTCAGCGACAGTTGATGAAGATGCATCGCTGGCGTAATTCTCACAACACTTTAGATTCCAGGTCTATTATTTTTTAAAAGCTCACCTCTCAGGGATATTTAATTCCTTGCTTTAAGGAATACCACTTTAATCGGCACAACCAACGCACTTAGTTCCAGAACTCAAACTAATAGTCTTGGCTAAACGAAGCGACCAAGAAAACACTTGGCAGTCCGTAACGGATAAGACTCCATTATCTGGATAGGTGTTTCCGCAAAAAAGATTGAAAAATCCCAGGGCCAGGGTACAAAGTATTCATCCACCTGGCCGCTCAATGACGCTATTATTTATTAACTGTAGTCTGCAGATAGAAAGATCTGAGGAACCGCTTCCGACTTAAATTGGTAGCATGTTAATTTAATTAAAATTCCATGTATTGCCCGCCTGATTAGGCCATGCAAAATAACCAATCGACTTATAAGCCCGATAAGCAGAACAATTTTAGATATTTCTATAAATACAGGGAGAGGTTTGAGTCACCCCCCTAATGAATCATAAACCCCGCCTATTTATCACGAAGCCTTGAAGGCCATGCTAAAGCGGATCAAGCTGGGAATAAGCATATATATACACGATCTATAACAATCTGGCAGTCATTCAGCTATCTCCACGCGCTTAAGTAATGAGCACTTATGTCTAATTACACTTGCTGCCACTGTCGATTCTATCATTCTGCGCTGATCCGCTCCATAGAACAGTCACTCTTAGGTAACACTTAATGACTGCCCATCCTAAACTACTGGGGGCTTACCGAAATCCGAAAGCAAACAGGGGAGCACCCGATAAGGCCGCCCTAATATCACTCGCCTTGTTTGCGCCCGCCTAATTGCAGTCTCAAGTGATATATGTACAGTGGCGGTGCTGCACATAAAAACCAATTACATTGTTGTTTCCCACCGATCCATTGAGTTGTGTGATCTTTGACGCGTTATTTTTATTTCCCATGATTTATTTCTGATTTATCTGAGATTTATCGGTGATTTACAAGCATATTCCGAAGCCCACCACCGAATTCCGCTCTAGGCGATTACTAAACGGATAATGATATCAGCAAATATGCAGTATAAGCATTTATACGTTTCATTTTAACAACTTTGACAACTGTCATAAACGTCTTGAGAATTTTGTACGAGTCATTCATTTTTGTGTTTTGATATCAGTAGTAAGCACTTCTATATAAAGAACATAATTAGGAAATGATTGAAATAACGCGGTTATCTGTGCCTGCATTCATAAACTTTATTCCAAGCATTGTTTTAAAATATTCCAGTTTCTATGGATAAGTATAACTTTTGTTTAGGTTTTTAGAGATATTATTAAACACCTTTTTAAAAAGGTATTTATTGAATTATAGTTCTGTGCTTTCATAAAATTTTTAGGAGATTGTTGAGAGATTTTCTTATATGCTTTACATTTTTGAAGTTTTTTTAATCTATAAGCCGACTAAACGACCAAGTAAATTGCATATTATCCATATAATGAACTCTGTGAACCATAACATTTCCAGTCTAGGTAGCATATCTTGTTTCCGATTTATCTGCGATTTACACTCAATTTTCCCAATTTTTTAACGATTGTAACCGAATTCCGCGTCAATCTCGATCGATTGGGGCAATCGGGCAATCAGTCGGGAAACACTCTCGGATATATAACGCTTACGAGGCACTTACAGTATCACAGGCAGCGCCCGATCCACTAATCACGGCTAACGTCATTATTCCAATACAAATGGTACCGAGTACAATTAAATCTAGTATACGCCGCGTTCGGCGACGGAGTTGTTTGTAGAGCGATTGGCGGACACAGAATAAAAGCGCGAATCTGGCCAGTCGTTCAATTTAAAACAAAAGTTAGCCGTTGCCAGTGAAGTGAGCCTCTATCTCGATCCCAAAGCTCTCGGAATCTCGGAGCTCGCTCGAGTACCGCCTAAGCCCCTCGATCTCCACCGATCTCGCCGTGGAACGTTCGCACTTGGCAATGGCACTGGTTAAGCATGAGCATTAACATTGAGTCAGACATTCGCCTCAGGCCGGGGTGAATCGGGGTTCACGGGTGAGTGGGTGGAGTTATAGTACCCCACTGTGTTTAGCCACTTTTATTGCAATTCCTCAGTCGCGGCCCAGACAGCAAAACGTGAGAGATGGGCCAAAAACCGGAGACAGACGACATATGTCGGCCGATAAAGACGTCAGCGATCTGTAGGCCAGTACTTAGAGCTCTTATCGCCAAGATAAACCCAACATAAGGGGGAGTTTTCGCTTCCATAAACGCCTTTAGCGGTGATTCGCAAAAAATCTTGGTGCTATTTAACCCTCTAGTCATTATTTTTAGCCATCTTATTAGGCAACAAAAGCCGAAACAGTTAAAAAGCCACATCGTTTTTAAGATAAATCCTAAAATAAATTTGAGACTAAGGGATTTCTTATCACTACAACCTAATAGACATTTTAAGAGGGTCAGCACTAAAGATAAATTTATTTATCTGCAAAATTTGTATACAAAGGTATATAAACTCTTTTTATATATAAAAGTCTTATTAGACTTTCAATTTTATGAAAAAAACCAATGTTATTGTAATTTTAAAACAACCCACAAGTCAAAAGCTTCCATTTCTGTATAACTCAAAGCTTTAACAGCAAAGATAAAATATGTTTTCGGGTAAAAATGTTGTAAGTATTATTACAGATATTTTGTTAAGACTAGGCTGGACATTTAGGGCCTAAAGCACTTACGTTCTCTGTCGTCGCCATGGCAGAAATCGAGAAGTCGAGGAACCTTTCACCCTGACCAAGCCGGGACCAACTGAACCGATCCGACCCGCGGATTATCCGATGGTAAGCTCTTTTCACGCAGCACCGAAAACTGTGTCACCCTCAATTCGAACTTCCTTAGGCGATGCAAACGAGCCGAGCCAACCCCAATATAATAATAATAAATCAGCTTTCATCAGTGGCGCAGAGGTGTCCCAAATGGGTTTCGCTCTTTGGTGCGCAATTCTCCGTGATTAAACCAACGCATAGTGCCTAAAACAGTTTAGAGCCTCAAATTGAGAATAACAAAGCAATTTTTCAATTGAGCTGCCACAAATTTACACGCTTCCATGATATATGGGTGGGCAGAACCCGCTCTACATAGCATATATGTTTGCTGTATTTCAATCTGAAAGTAAAAGTCGGGGAAATTGGCGAGGCCAAAGGGCAGGCGACCACCTGACCCATTCGAGGGTGACTCTAGACCAACAGGGAAATGGACCAGCAAATGCGAATGCAAATGGAGAGGAGATCTCTGGGCCAGCGGCACGTGTTCTTTGTTTAGTGACACCAAACAGGGCAGCGCAAGTTCAGGGCGAAATCAATTTCCCTTGCCCGTATTATGTGAGCTGTAAGTGGTTTGGAGTGCACTGGAAAAAATATTGTATACAATTTTAAATTTATTTTTTAAAAATTATAGGTTTAGTTTATTGTTATTATTGTATTGTATTGTATTTACTTAGTCATATATTTATTTTAATGGTTTTTATGCTTAGCTTAATATAAAATAAATCTGACATACTTAAATTGAACTCGAAAAAATAGTTGTATCATAATTCATTTAGGTAATAACTTCGAATTAAGCCAGAAATTAAATTTATTTTGAAAATGCAGTTTTTATTGGAAAACCGTTTAATACAATTTAAAAAATTTAATTTCTAAAAAGATAGAGTTCGATAAAATGCCGAAGTCTGAAAGAAATTAATTTATAATCCAAATATTAAAACAAAGTGTGTTTAAACTTTCTGATCCCACTGTATGCGTCAATACACAACAAATTAAATATAATTTAAGCAAAACAGAGTGCTTTTGTGTATTTTTACACCTAATCAGATGAATTTCGCATGCAATTATCACAACGCCGTCTCTAAATTTATCCACAAATGTGTTTGCCTTGCCTGATCAGATTGGAAATATGTCATTATCATAATGATATCTAAATACAAGTGTTTAAACCTGAATGTTTTTTCAGGTACTCAATCATATCAGTTTTTTCACCTCGGACCTATCCAAAACACAACGTCATGGGAGTTTTCCTTGGTCGACTGATTGACCCAGTCGGCTTAGAATCAAGTGTATGCCCATATAACTCCAATTTGATGCTTATATACGAATATAGGTGCGAATTGCTGGCAATTCAGGTAAAGAATTAACACAAGATGTTTAATTATCGACATTTATTGATCGAAATCACTTAACCAACAAGCTGTTAAGCCATTAGAGTGGATCTGCCAACGTCACTGGTTGAAAGAAATGCGCAAATAAAATTGGCGAATTGGGAACCAGATAATCTCTGGCTTAACCCAGAGTATTAGCCAAAGTCAGTATTGGCTACACACGAAAAAAACTTTATATTATTTATACCAGTTGCACATTATTTATTCAAAACTTAATTAATTTTTAATTAATAATGTTAACTAATATTAATTTGATATTTTTAAAATATATACCTGATAAGTGCAAAAAATGGGTTAGTATAATAGAACACATTTAAATCAAATGCAAAAACGTAATGTTAAACAAATAAATACAATGTCATGTTTTTAGGTACGATGTTAGTCTGGCTTACTTTAAATATTTTCTGTCATTTAAAATTAATTTGATATTAAAATAAAAGTTTAAGAGCCTAAAATGTACTTTAAAAAAACATTGCAGAATTGCTTAAATTGAATATGAGTTCTTTGGATTTACTCGGTTTGTATCAGTGTATTTATAACGCCAGTTTTATATCTTTCAAACATTAAAAAAAGTAGCTAAATCCGAATTGAACACCAAAATGTTATTTTTTTAATGACAAAATACAATTTTTAGTGACTAACATGTATATTATAAGATTCCATTATAATATTAAATTGATATTGATCCCATTTTTATAGCGTGCGTAGACGAAAGGCGACGTCAGAGCCCGGCCAACCGGTTTTATGGATACCCAATACACCGGGTAACCGATCCACTGAGGGATAGCTGAGTAATTCCCAGACACAAGCGGCGTATGCGCAATGCAGGCGAACTAATAAAACGCAGGAAGGCACGGGGCCACCGATCGAAATTTCATTTGGCCAAGTTAACAGCCTGTCGCAGAACGCTCCTTCCCTCTCTCCTGCCCCCTGAGATCTGCAAAACCAGTTAACTGGCGCTGAGAAAGTGCATTAAGCCATCGATTCGCAAAAAAAAAACATGTTAATTGCCAGTCGATCGAAGTGTCTTGCACTGCCTGCAATGGACACAGTAGTTGTTACTGGTTACTGGTTCTTTTGCCGCATTGCCGTCTTGCCATAAGCCAGACAATGCCCCGGCCAAATATTTGGCAACGTCTCTTGGCCAAGACAGAAAAAGTGGCCCACAGATCATGCAGATGGGCGATGGGGACGGCAGGCAGCAGGCAGGAGCATCTGAAGCGCAGGCCTTGATGATGGTTACATGAAAACACGTTGAGCGACAATCATTAAACGATCACTTACGGTTAACCGATGATGTTTGGGAACAGGGAAAGCTGCTTAAAGAAGAGATTCCTACTCCCATTGAAGGAACATTAATTGTATCAAAGAAGTGCAAAGATTGGACTAGAAAAACGGGTAGGATTAAAAACAAAGGAAACAGGATTCTGTTCAGGTATTATATTCTAGAACTCGAAGGCATATATACATATAAAATATGTTTGCTAGTCTAGAAACTACTGGCACCTAGGACTTAAAGAGGGGAAACAAACAAGGCAGTTTGCCACTGAGCCAAATTATTAACACTAATTTTATTGTATTTTGTTGAACCAGTAATTAGTGAGGACTTTGATGAAAAACAGTGTGTAATTCTAGGAACTATATAGAACAATCAGTAAATATTAGTACTATTGTATGCAATGGATCTATGGAAATTATAAGAAACAGGACAAACCATTGAAGCTAAATAAAGTAGACAACTAAGAGATAGCAGGGGAGTAAAAGTGTTTTCAATTGAAAACTAATTATGTAAGATAAACAGGATTGTAATACTACATGTAAAACTTAAACCAATGGCTGTAGGGATCATTTCAGATGAGTCGGGGATTCCCAGTGAGCTTTGCGATCCATCCCAAGAGATCAGATTGATGCACAAGGTGAACCCACTGCCCCCTAACCACTTGAAGACCCCTTTCCACGGATCTCGGTGGGATTCTGCGACACTCGACAAATGTGCGAGATGTTTCCCTGTGTGCCGGGAGTGTCTGTGTAAAAAGCGCTGAGTATGAGCGTATGAGTATCGTTCAGCGTTTCGCGCGATGCTTAAAACTGGTGACCCACGTTGGGTCTGATTTAGTCGTTAACGCGCGGCCAACACGATCACATCGCAGATCCGACCAACTATACATCATCATAGCATAGTATAGTATATAGCCTGGTAAAACAAGTGCGCGGCGGTACGGGTTCTGTGTAGCGTTGATCTGCCTTGATTTAGATTTATGTTTTGATTTTTCGTCGTATCTGTCAACGAGTGCTTCGGTTAATTGCCAGTTTTCAACGGTTTCTCAGCAGTAATTTTCGATTATTCAACGATTATTCTGGGAGGAGTTTGGATATTACACAAAAAGAATTACATTCATTCCGGTTCAACAAAAAAAGCAGCGGTAAGTGAGAGATCTATGTTTTTGTTTTGCGGTTTATTTTTGGGCTAATTAGCCAGCGGAAGTCGCGACGCTCAACTTTGGCAAATTAGTAAGTCGGGCATGAGTGCACAGATCGCCGAGTTCAGTTTAGCTAAGTTAAGTGAACTAACCCCCAATTAAATGCATTTAAATTTAGGCAGCGACGCGCATCCAATGTCTGACGCAAATTATCAATCGAGGGACCAAAAATAGCTCGCTAAAAGTTTAAAGAGCAGACGGTTTTTCAAGATATGAACCTCGGCTAATTTCAAATATTTGCAAAGAGCTTAAATTCATTAAATGGCCATCATAATATCTATTTATATCTCAAGATAAGATCCCTAGTGTCTCAAGATAAGAATCTCTTTCTCTTTCCAAGAATTTCAAGTCCTTTCACAACATTTTACTACTATCTACTGATATAGCAAGATATGTTCTTCAGCGGCTGACGTTAAAGAAATCCTTGTTTTTAACATAAAGATATAAATCAACAATGAAATAATTACAAGTCTTTGAACAATATTTACAATGCAGTGCTATGAATCCACTGACTGTTGTTGGTTTTGCAAGAGGCTTTGGTGATAAGCAGCATAAAGATGTGATAAAAACATAGCTTTCTGTTCTCATCACTCATACGTCGAGTTGGCCAAGCTGATGTGTTACCACACAAAGAGCAGTGACTTCTCTGACATTTGCACACTTCTGAGTAATGGATGAACAAAAAAGGTTATTCAGCGGGGTATTCTTAAAGATGATTGCCAATTTGATTTCATAAAAACTGAAATTACCTGTGGTATGTAAGTTCAAATATAATTTTATGGCAGGTGTTGCCATCTCGACTATTATTGCTTTATAAGCAAAATTTGTTAAACATTTTCAATAGTTCCAAGTTTTATAGTCAGGTATAAATAAATATCATAAAAACTTCAGTGAGCTAATGTTACCACTGATATCTTACAAGCTTCCATACAAAATGTTAAATCTCTTTAAAATTAAATTTAGTGGAGCTTTAAAATTTCAAAGTATAATTTTCTCTGTAAATCGAATTATTTCAGCTTCACTCGATTTCCCCTCTCCTATACGTAAAATTAATTATCGCTTTGCGTGGAAAATTTTATTAAAAACTGGCAGTTGCAGTCGCACTACCACATTGGTAGCTCGAAAACAGTTGGACAACTTAGCTTTTCCACCTGCTCGGAATGTTGCGAGTGCCAAGAACTTTTCCACTCCAAAATTCACTGCCAGAGGGGCTAAGACAAACACAGTGGAAAACTCCAGTTTCGAAAACGAAATGATTAAGCGGGGCAAGGCCGACGGCTTTTGTAAGCCAGCCAGTTAGAAGCTGTTTGGGCCAGGCCAAGATTCCACTACCAAGCAGAAAGCCGCTGCTGACAATTGAAATTCGTATTCCGCGGCGGCGAGTCAACTGCTGCAGACAGCTAAGGCCAAGCCGAATGGCCTGGCTCATTGAACTTGGCTAACTGTCGAGAGTCTAGACGGCTAAAACCCACAGTACCAGTGAGTAAATAATAATACAATAAAAGCCAAAACCAAAACAAAATGCCGGGAGAGTCGCGTGCTGCTTTCAATTGATATTCAACTGGCGTTCACGTGAAGAAAACAAACATCAAAAGATTCATGGGGAATTCTTGGCTCAGCCGAATATTCAAAAATATTTTTAGACAGCTGCATGGGAAATAAAAGAAATAAAAACAAAAAAAGTAGGCAAATAGAAAGGAAAAGGCCTCTAAATCATTCGCGGGCATGTCAAAACAAATTGGCAAATTGCAAATCGGCAGAGTC